ACCCGCACCGGCCCTGCCACGTTTCACCTGGGATCAGACTTACCGCCCCTTCTCTCTCTCTCTCTCTCTCTCTCTCTCTCTCTCTCTCTCTCTCCCCCCTTATATTGCACAGGGCCTCGCCGACGCTCCGGGACGCGCAGCACAAACATCCATTGCCGACCGTTGCGAGCAGAAAGCGAGAGAGAGAGAACAGAAATATAAGTGAGAAAGCAGAGGCGGCCGGACTCGTAACGTCAAAATGAATAATAAAAAGAGGCTAAAGTAGCTAAAGTTGTTGGGTTTTTTTCTCCACACAGCCCGGGTATGTGTTCTAAAAGGGGACGGACGGCGCATGTGTTGTGCTTTTTTGTCCGTTTGCCGCGCGTCTAAAACGGGACTGATGAGATTAGAAGCTTTGAGCCTCAATGTCGCGCTCTCCAGCTCCAGCAAAGGATGCTCGGGAACACATGCCCCACTGTGCAAAATACCCTCGGAAATTTACCCCATTTTTGTTGTAATTTTTATTGACAATAAATGTTGTCAACTTGCAATGCGATAACCCATTCTTTGCCTGTCGATCAATTCCAAGTCGATTACAAGTGCTCGTAAATTTACAATTTAGGCGCGTAATGAGGATGGTGTGTCCCCCCGAGTGTCACGAATAACTCGCCGATGAGGAGAACACTGAAAAACTAACTGGGCAATTGTTCAATACTTGTAAGTGTGCAACTGTTAATTACTTGCAAGTGTGCAACTGCTTAGTTGAGCAGTTCCTTAGATAGAACGCACACTTGCAAGTGCACACCTACCGAGTTGAACACTTGCAAGTGTACAACTACAAAGTTGCACACACTGTTAAAAGCTAACAGTGAATTTCACTGGAAGCTTTTAACAGTGCACTTGCAAGTATGTAACTTGCACTTGCACACTTCCAAGTAGTGTTAAGCAGTTGAACACTTGGTTTATCAGTGAACCGGGAGACGCCAAGAACTCCAATCAGGTGGGGGCCATAGCGTACGACGGAGCAGGCAAACCCGCAACACACTTGTTTCATGTGATCGACGCAGTTTTCATACCGCAAGTTTCTTTCTCTTCACTTTACCGCATGCTTCGCATTCCCTGTGTGTTCGACTATTTCGCACTCTGTGCCTTCGAGTGTGCGGATGACCAGCACCGCTGGCGGCCACGCCCAACGTTGTGAGGCGAGCAGCACCGTCGCGCTCGAGTGGCAGATGGGTTGCCTATCAGCGCGGCGCTCCGAGGGATGTACATATACACCAAATGCCGTTGCCTCACTGAGAACCCGAAGAAGAGGAAGAGACGTCGGAGGGCCATTAAATGGATGTGCGAGGAGCGCCAAAAGCCCCTCCTACGCATGGGAACACTTATCACCTAATGGGAGAGGCGCCAGGAGAGAGAGACGGGGGCGGGGGAGGTGGCTCCAGGAGAAGCCTTTCATGGCAATTGCTTGGAATGAAGATGAAACACGTGCGGCAGAGTGGGAGGCCTGGCTGCGAGGGGGAGTGGACCGTCGCCGCGGAGTGGTGTACAATACCCGCGCCTCTCCCACCGCACCGTGGCCGCACACTTTTGTCTCGGGGTGTCGCGGCTCGGGGCGCCACGGCGCCACGGCCCGGTCGAGCGCAGCACTATGATGTATGGGGTGTGGTGACTGCCCTCCCCCCGCCGAGCCCAGCCCACTTTATCACTTGAACAACAAAGAAAAGGGGTGTGCGAGGTGCCTTTTATCTCATCTATCCCCACCTCTCTCTCTCTCTCTCTCTCTCTCTCTCTCTCTCTCTCTCTCTCTCGCTCTCTCGCTCGCTCGCTCCCTCTCTCCTCTCACACTTTCCCCCCCTGTCTCCCTCCGCGGCTCACCCCTGGTGTCGGTGGGCCGGATGGGTCGCTGTCGCTGGTCCGGGGTGGCCGCTCTACAATGCAGGGCTCCGTGAATGGGTCGGTGTCGGTGGTGGGCCGGGGCCGGTGGTCCCGCGCGCTGTCGTCGCCCCTCCCCGCGGGGCTCTGGCGTGGCCCGCGTGCGGTGGGTCAGGGGCGCGCGGTGGGGGCGCCCCTCCTGGGGGAGGGAGGAGCGTGAGCCGAGCCGCCTGTCGTAGGCAGAGCGCCCCGCTGGGGCCCTTCCTCTGTTGTTGTGGGGGGCAAATATAAGGGGCAGAGAAGGGACCGACAGCCGGGAGTGAGTGGCGGGATTCCCTCCTCGGGCAAAACGGAAGTGTACTACATTTATATTGTGTGTAGGCGTGTGCGTGCGTGTGTGCGTGAGGACGTGGTATGCGATGCGAGCGCGGTTGTTTGAGCACAACAACAGAGAGTATATGTGCGTGGCGTCGTCATGACAGTTTGCGAACGACTGGAGAGAGAGGAGAGAGAGAGAGAGAGAGAGAGAGAGAGAGAGAGAGAGAGAGAGAGAGACAGAGAGAGAGAGACAGAGAGAGAGACAGAGGGAGGGGAGAACAATGATAAAATAAAGAAGAAATAGTGAAGAGTTTATGCACACACATACACACACACATCTATATCCAGCACTGTCCGGTCGACACGCTGGGCCAGCCTGCCGAGCGGGCCACGGGCACGCATGTGTTCATGTTCAAATATTTTCCCTAACGGCGGGGAGTGGCGCGCGCGCGCACAAACACGTGTGCAAGCGTCGTGGCGGGGCCCGAGGCAACTGGCCTGCTGATGTGACCGCCGGCGCCGGCTGAGGTAACTGGCCCACTGATGTGACCGACGACTGAGGTAACTGGCCCGCTGATGTGACCGTCGTCTGAGGTAACTGGCCCGCTGATGCGACCGCCGGCTGAGAACTAGCCCGTGATGTGCCCGGTTTAAAAACTTTCCTGGGGGAGACGAAAAATAAATTAGGTTTGCTTACTACTGATCTAGCTCGACCTATTCTTACATTCTTCTCTTTCGCGAAAGGAGGATGTTTCCCGAATAAATCAAAGGGCTTCGGATCGGAAATTCAATATAACTCACACATTGGTTCAAGCTTAGCCGTGACCTTGAGACGAGAGCTGCAAGTCGTCCTCGCGTCCGCGCAGTGTATCCTTCCCTGGAGGAGGGCACTAGGCTCGGCCGCAACCAGGCCCTCAGCCCGGCGAACCGTGGACAGCGGTCCCCTGGGGGGACCCAAGAGCGCGCAGAGCGGAGCAAAGCGAGGCAGAGCGGGGGAGACCGAAGGAGAGCGCGGGTCTCCCGCGGGGAGGGACGGCTGAAATGCACATTTCACCCCCCGGGCCGGGGCCGGGGCTGTCCGTCCCAAGACACAGAGGACGGTCCATCCGCGTCGTGGGCATACGGAGAACGGGCTCCGATAGAGGCTTGAGCTCGTCGCTGCTGCTATAGGCGCTGCTGCCCGGGTGGCCATCCCCAGCCGAACGAGCCTGCTGGTACACGCCCAGCCCAGCCACGCCCCGCCACGCCCCACCACGCCACTAACGCTGCGCGTCTGTTTGTTCTCGATCAACACACGGGGGCTTCAAGGAACTCGCCATGTTCAAGTTCAAGGCGACGAAGCTGGGGGCTTGGCGCGGGCCAGTCGTCCGGAATCCTGTAGACTATCGCCTCCAGCAGGTGGTAGCCTCCGATGATAGCCCTCAGCAGGTAACTTTGTAGCCATTAACATCCGCGGCAGGTATCCTTCAGCCGATGGTAGCCTTCACGTTAGCCTCCAACTGCACCGTGACAACGTGTAACATACCGCCCTTCGGGAGCACACTGGGGCACAAGCCACTGGATTGCCCGGGACTCGGTTCACGACGAGTTTTGGGCCGACATCGGCTCGCCACTTAAGCCGCTTTTTATTATTTCAGTCCCGCATCTCGACGGGGACAACAAGGGCGGCCACTCCACCCCTCCGGAGCGGCCCTAAGTACCTCGTCGTCATGGAAAAGAAAATCCCGCGCCGCTCTCATAAATGAGTCACCAAGACCGCACAAGACCGTTTTAATGAGGGGACTACTTTTAATAAAACGCGGATAAACGACCAGCATTATCATTCCATAACAATTGTGATACCATATCTAAGTCAAGTTTCGAAACTGGCTCGATGCAGCGAAGTGGACTTTGTCTTTGCTGCAACGATGTGTGTGAAAGTGCGACTTTGGTATTTTTTTTTCCGTTGGCGAACATTTCCATCGAATCGCCCGAGGAATTTTCTCGGCACTCCTAGAGGCTCCCCTAGAGTTTTTCCGGATAAATCGCAGAAAGTCACGCCGACGAGGAAAAGTTGAAAGGACTCCGTATTTCCTCATAC